GCAATTCCAGCCAACCTGAGTGACAACGGAGAACACCTACTCCAATTTTGTGCTGACCGCGGACTGTTTCTGTCAAGACCGAACTTCACTGTAACTGATGTCCTGACAAAACTGCCTTGGACACTATAAACATTGAACATTCAATCAAAATATACCTAATTTCACATCAGAACTAGAAGTGGAAATAAATCTCACAAGGCGATCTTTAAAGGCAATCGATATGTCGGAAAACAAAAGGGACCGACTTCGCATCACTTGCATGTAAACGATAACTAGTTTAATGACTCGTAAATATTGTTAGTACACATCTAAGAATGAGGAACAGCAGACGGGGCGAACCCCATAGTCACGAGGACCTGCTGTTCAGTGGTGGAAACCGGAAAACCTAAGTCCCGGGACTTGAAGTGGCGAACCACACAAGGCACCGACAGGTTAGGCGTGGTATTGAACTGGACGACAGCTGAGCTGCTTACCACCAAAGTCGGGTGGCGGGGCTCGAACCTGGGACCATAGGGTACAAAGCACGCTGGTAACAGCGACTAAACCATTGCGTGGTCCGCGGTTCGAGCCCCACCACCGCCACCCAGCTTTGATGTCTCCCGGTTCTATACCACACTTCACCTAGCAGGTTCGCCACCCCAAGTCCCGAGGCTTAGGTTGCCGGTTACTATCACTGAACTGCAGGTCTTCGTGACTATGGGGTTCCATCCCGTCTACTGTCCATCCCACACTGATGTGTAATAAAAAAGCACAAATTAGATAGGAACATTATTAACAACGGGAAAACTGACAATAGTGGTCTAACTCACAGTAGCCCAAATGGACACGGATTATCGCTTCCGCTAGCATCATTTGACTGCATCGATGCATGCAACCCCAACCAGCATCGGAGGTTGGACCATTGCGAGTGACGATTGGTGGGAATCCGGATCGATAAGTCATCCAAAATAAGGAGCGCAACCTATCAGCGATTGCGGCACGATCTGTATTAAATGATAACGAGGAACATTATGCGATCGACAAAAGAGAACATACAGAACGCTGGAAAGCAGAAACACGAGTGAAAACAAAAGAAGCAATCAAAAACGGATTTCGAGCACCCTTGCAATAAATAAGTATTCGTATCTTGAATTATTAAAGTTTCTCCCCGATTAACGACTGACATCGAAGTGGCAAATTACGCCTAAACCCGTAGTCTGAAAACGAACCACGTGAGTTGTGGGTTATATCGGGTGCAACTATACATGTACGTTTGTACAGTCAGTTTCTCTTATTTTGAGCAAGCACTCTGCGACAAACAGATCATCAGCTTCACTGTTACTCGGTTCGATACCACATCCACCTTACTAGGATCCCATGTGATTCGACAGTTCGAGTTCCGGAACGTAGACATCGGCTGCTGTGAGTGAAGAGCAGACCATTTGGACTACGCGGTTTGCTTCTATTCTACAAACAATGCGACGAAACACAAAAAATTGTATTATCCCATAGATTAAATAACTGAAAACAATCAAAACTGTACCGAATAAAACAGCGTCTTATAAAATACAACAGAGGAATCGCAACAATTATAATACACATTTAAAAGTACACTGAACTGAACTGAACAGTGGGTCTAAAAAATAAAGCATAATTATGAAATTATCTGAATTCAAGGGTACTTTGAACTTATACATATGCATATATTTATATCACAGAAATGTGGTGCATCAGGACTCCCTATTAGGACTTCATGAAAAGTCCAGTCCACAGTTCAAGATGCTGAGTGATAGGGCTGACCACTGCAACCAATGGCACTCATAGAGCTACTCAATTTTGGACCGGATTCAGTTTACTTGCTTTCAACTATTCCACTCACTCACTCCATATTGCCAGTCGGGTTACGGCCTACGTCCAGCTTTCATCAAACTGCTTTCTCCAATGAAGGTCGACAATTCTGCCTTATATCTTTATTTCCCTTCAACTCTACCATAGATGATAGGTATAGAGTGCTCCGTTTGTTCTCCCAGGGAACAGAGTTCTTGACTGAGAACATGCCGATGACATCGTGGTGGCAATACACAGGCCGTCCAACACGTTTCAAACCGCTTGACTGAGTAATCCTTGTATGATATGCGATCTGCACCATCCAAGAGCAAAGTGTTTGTTCAAAACTGGTGTGCATTCATCTTTTGTGGTGATCAGCTGGAAGCAGTTGAGATCTTTAAGCACTTAGGGAGCTTGATCGCTGCTGGAGTCAGTTTTCTTATTACGCAACGTGAATTACAGTAAGAGGGGAAATTCCCATAGACAAATAGCATACTGTAAAAGGGAGGGTA